TTTTTCTCATTTCACTCCCACCTTTTTCTCATTTCACTACCACCTTTTTCTCATTTCACTCCCACCTTTTTCTCATTTCACTTCCACCTTTTTTTCATTTCACTCCCACCTTTTTCACATTTCACTCCCACCTTTTCTCATTTCACTCCCACCTTTTTCTCATTTCACTCCCACCTTTTTCTCATTTCACTTCCACCTTTTTCTCATTTCACTCCCACCTTTTTCTTATTTCACTACCACATTTTTCTCATTTCACTCCCACCTTTTTCTCATTTCACTCCCACCTTTTTCTCATTTCACTCCCACCTTTTTCTCATTTCACTTCCACCTTTTTTTCATTTCACTCCCACCTTTTTCTCATTTCACTCCAACCTTTTTCTCATTTCACTCCAACCTTGTGGTTATTAAAAGGATAATTGCATAGGTTAGTGTTTTATAGAAAAAATTCAATGTTCAGAGTACATTGATTAAAAAAGGTCTATGATAGTAAATTAGTGAAGAGTGAGAAATTATTGATTGATACATGGAATAATAACTGATGTTTTTATGTTTCAGAGTTGTAACCAGTAAAGTAAATCTTCTGTAAAACATGGCTGACAAGATAGTATGTGATGTTTGTAAGAAGGAATTCAGTGGGGAAATTCCAGCACAGCAACACTTTGAAAGCAAAGCCCACCAGAAAGCCATGCGAAATAAAGAAATGATTGACAGATATGACTTAAGATTTACTCCTGCTCAATTCAAATGTGACATTTGTAATGTAAATATGAACTCTGATGAAGTAAAACAGAGACATATGTGTAGCCCAAAGCATTTAGAAATGGAGCGAAGGGCAAAGACCATAGCAAGCAGAGATACTTCCATAGTCAATGGTATATCACCTGAGCAGGGGCACGTATCCAGCCATGGAGGCAAGGGGTACGATTTCAATGGAGTAAGGGGATATTGTTACATTTGCAAGATAGAACTTACTTCCAAAGCGGTGGCTGATCAGCACATTAATGGCGAAAAACATTTGAAGAAAAAAACATCGCAGCAGAGAACGATATTGCAGCAGCCCCCTGTATCAAGATGTGCTGTAATTAGTACATGTAATGCATGTGGAGAGGGGTTTTCCAATCAACATGATGTAGAGGTACATTTTTCAAGCCAAAAACATAAGGAAAAACTGGCTTCATTGGACATCGTTTCTTTGAACACAGAAAGACACCCAACTTTAAGCACGGTCTCGGAGACCTCGTACTACCCAACAGAGAATCTTGCTCATATAGCATCAGGCTCATCCTCTGGAGCAGTTGTCAGAAGGGTAGGATACGGGTCTACCAGTTCTACAGCTGTCAATGGAGTGTACGAGTTCAATGGAAGCAGTGGTCATTGCCATATATGCAATGTAGCATTGACATCAGAAGAGAATGCTAAAGCCCATTTGCTGGGAACTCGTCACAGAAAAGCACTGGTTAAGAGTGGAGGAGAAACCAGGAAAGATCCACAAGCTGCAAATTCTTCTGAGTACTACTTCAATGGAGACCGTGGCAAGTGTTTGGTGTGTGACATTGATCTCACATCAGAACGCCACGCTCAGGATCATCTGTCTGGAGCAAAGCATACTAAAGCTGTTCAGAGACAAGCAGAGGCCAAGACAAAGGACCATCACGCTAGTGATGCAGAGGAATATGAAATGAATGGCAACAGAGGATTCTGTCATGTATGTCAGCTGGAATTAACATCAGTAGAACATGCTACTCAACATATTGATGGAAGGCCTCATGCAAAGGCAAAACTTGTGTGGGAAAAAAGAAGGCTAACAGGAAATAGAGCTCAAGGAATTCTGTCACCATCTTCAGTCGCAGGGGAAAGGTCATTGGACATGGAGCCAACATCTCCAGGACTTGGTGTTGTAGGTCATTGGCCTAGTCAAGGTCAAAGGTCTGACCTTTCAGGAAGCTCAGATTCATCAACATTTCTTAGCAATGAGGATGTAACTAAAAGAATACCAAGTGGAAATATAAATCAGAATCAGACAAATCAGGTGCCAAAGTCACCTGGCAGTAACCAAAACACATCTGATGGTTTTAGAGGTAGCATACCTATATCTGAAGATGGTACCCAAGAGTATTGGTTCACCGGGCTTACAGGATACTGTAATCTCTGTTCGATTGAGCTAACATCTCAAGCACATGCCATGCAGCACATCAATGGTAAAAACCATGCCAAGGCTAGACAGAGGAGCCAAACCAAGCCCATCGGCTCTTCGAATGTAAACCTGTATTGTAAAATCTGTAATGTACCATTCTCTGGCCAGGAAAGTGCCCAGCAACATTACAGAAGTGACAAACATAGAAAACGAGAGCAGATGAAGATGTGCCCTTCGGGTGAACCTCCTGCTCCTGATCAGAAAGTATTGGACAATACAAATTGGTACCCTTGCATCGTTTGTGGCTGTTATCTTAACTCCAAGGAGCAGTTGGAGAGTCATGAACAGAGCGTGAGTCACAAAGTCGCTACAGAGGGATTAAACTCTCTCGGATTTCAGGAGACTTTAGTCATGACCACTGGTGGAAGTAGTGTGGAAAGGATTGTCAGGGTCAACAAAGGAGGTTTTGATTCTGGTAATCAGCAGACTGTTGATAGTTCAAAGTCATCTTCAAGGCAAGAGTTCAATCCTGAAAGTGGAACTCCATCAAAAGATAGTGTAAAATTTGAACCCATATCCTTGGACCAGCATGGAAGTTTAGACCCTGCATCTCTGCGTCAGTCATATGCTACTAGTGGTGGTACTGGGCCTGAGGAAACGCTACTTAAGTCTGTTTATCACTTTCAACATTCAGATGAATTCAACACTCTTCCTTCAAATCTGAATGCAAATAATTACAATTCAGGAAGTCTTAAGGAAAAAGAAGTTAATAAACAAAGTTTTTTATCTCAAATAAGTATGAGTGGTAATAGTAGTTCTGCAGGGTCATTCAGGTCATCTCGGTCAAGGTCACCAAGTGTTGGTATCGATTCACATGCCGGATTTGATAAAAATAGTAGCTTGAAGTCACATGGCAAGCTCTCATCCAATCATAGTGGCCACTCGTCCAATCAGTCTTCTCTGGAAAGTGGTCCTCAGTCCAGTGGCAGTGAGAACAGGATGCCATCCTTGGAACCAATAGATATGAATGATGACATACCAGACCTTGTGTCCATTTGTACTAGCATGTCAGAACTGAAGATTAAAAAGGATAGAAACAACGCTGAGAAAAAAGAAGTCAAAGTGAAGGACTTCACTAGGAAGAAAGAACGCAAGGAAAGGCAAACGGTCGAGGTCACAACTTTAGATCACATACCTGTACCATGTAATGTCGTTGATGTGTCAGACATAGGGGCGCTTGGCTCAGCAGAAAGTACACCAGGACACCGAACCCGCAGAGGTGAGGGAACAGACACGGCCAGGGCTTTGAGAAACAGAACTTCTCGTCGAAAAACCAGTGAGGAACTGGACAGAAGTGTCTCTCAAGAATCTGAATCAAATGATGACCCAGATAAAGATACTGACAGCAGCATGGCACGACAGTCAGTTGGACATGAAAGGAGTCATACCCAGTTAATGTCCCTCATCAGCCAGAAACTAAAAGATATTCCTCAGAAACCAGCAATAGGTACTCTTGCTGAAACAGAAAACTCAGTTCGCAAAAACTACAAACATTATTGCCCTACCTGTAAGGTCCCTATGGATACTGAGAAAGCCCTGCAAGACCACTTGAAGGGCAAGCTTCACCGAATGAAATCAGCCAAGGAACCAGCCTGTTCTCGCCAACTACCACCTCTGACTAAAACAATAAGCGCACCTTTTCCGCAGGAACAAAATAATTTCACAGAGACAATTCCAAGAAATTACCAATGGGAACTGTTCCACAAAGTCATGACTGGGGACAGGATCTGCTTCCTCCCAACAGGTAAGACGAAAAAGATATTGTTCCTTGTCACTGTTAAAACTGTTATATGAACATCAAAGGAGTCACTATTATGGTGGCTAATCAAATCCCCTTTCATCCTTCTGTCCTAAAACAATTCTTGTTATTGCTATTTCTCAAAACGTATTGAATAGATCTTTCTCAAATTTCTATAAGTTTCCATGTAGGCTGCCAGTTAGCCATCTTTTATTAGTCCCCCCCCCTATTTCCGGGAGGGAATTGCCATTATAGCAAGTACATCTTGGGATAGCAGAGTGTCATGTACAAATAAAAGGTCATGGTGGCATATGGTTTGACCTCAACCTTTGAAAAAGTTTGTCTAGGGCATATCTACTATACTATTTCACCTGGAGTAACCAGATTTGGTATGCAAGTACATCTTCAGGTAGCAGAATGTCAAGTACAAAGAATAGGTCACTACATCCTGAGAAAGATGTACAGCTCAGTAAGTAAAGAAATCATTACCAATGGGGGACTATGGATTCCTTGTTTTAACAGTTAAAGTTTGTCATTGCTAGATATCTCAAGAAATATACCATGAACAGACTCTTTAAAACTTTAAAACCCAGCTGTATGACATTTTATCAAAAGATACCAAAAGACGCATTTGACACTGTTTAAACCAAACAGATAAAAGAAGAGATATAAAGGGAAAATAATTTGATCAAACTAACATAGAACTAATGAAGATCTTGCAATGGTGGGCACCAGGATCCCTCTGGGGTCTCTGTGTTTTAACTTCTTTTGTATAAACAAGAGGCATATAATTATGATATTTAACTGATAGCATTCTTGATTGAAGGGCTATCAAGGTTTTCAGATAGATGACCTTGACCTACAGGCCCGGTGACAGGAATCAAATGTGTTCAAGTCGTTAAACAGCATCTGTATGAAATAAAAATGGTCATGCCATTAGGCCAGTAGCATTCTGGCATGAATTGATATCTGTTTGTTCATATGGACAACCTTGGCTGAAAAACAGTATGGCTGAAAAACAGTCTAGCATGTTAGGGTGAATGTTTATTAATGTTCAAATCAATTACCTTGACCTTCTTGCAAGGTCACAGGGGTCAAATTCATTAAAACCATTTAAATCACTTCTTCCAAATAACCAAAAGTTCTAATTACATTTTGCCAGTAGCATGGGTGGGTGAAAGATTAACTTATTTGTTCAAATAAATGACATTAACATAGTTTGCAGGTAACAGTGGTCAAATATGTCAAAACCTTTAAATGGCCTCTGCAGTATGATCAAGACACCTAGTATCATGATATTTGGCCTGTAGATCAATGGTGTGAAGTGCTAGAAGTGTAGGATGGGAATGAATGACCTAGACATTTGTTAAGGTCTCATCAGTAAAACTAGTTATAATCTTCCAATAAAACTTAATAAGGAGTGGAGTAATAGAACTTCATAATAAAATCTTTAATCAGATACAATGTAGCTGTTTATTTGCAAAAAAATGATATGCAGCCGATTTAAATCAATTTGACCTTGTCTAGACCCTCTTCGAGGTCATAGGTGTGAGATGAGTGAAAGGTGACTGATTAGGCCTCTTGTTTTATGAAGTATGTAGTAAAACCTCTCCAATGTACATGTAGTACTATTAATGTAAAATACTTTATTTTAGGCAGGATGTCAGGATTCACAGATTTCAAATTTCCATTTTTTTTTTATAATAAATGGGTTTAAAGATTGATGTTGTTTATTGGATGGTGTCAGAATATTCAACTACCAGGTTAGAATAGTCCTGTTGCATTGTTTGACTGCTGTAATGCTGTTAAATATATTCAATAACGATAAAAGAAACATATCATATATAGAAAAGGTCCTTTTTGTGTTGCTTCATCTTCTATAAACATATATAAGGGAATCTACTAAGAAAAATCTCTAATATTGAACTATTCTTCACCTTTTTATAATACATTTGCACTAATTACCTTGATAAATAAAATTTCAATGAAAAGTTGATTGCTTTATTAAACGCAGGGACGGGAAAGACCCTGATTGGTTGCATGGCTATAGGTGCCATGTTGGACCTGAACCCGAGCCACCAGGTCCTGTTTCTAGTCACCAAAGTCCTACTTGTCCTTCAGCAGGGCAAGTACATCAGGAACCAGCTGGCAAACCGTAAATACAGAAGGTACATGTTTAGTACTATTCTAGTTTCCCTTTGGTGTATAGTTGGTCAAATTCCTTGTTCAGAACCATGATACCTAGAGCCAAAATAACGATATATGATACGTGGAGGGCATTTGTAGAACTCTCTAAATGCAGATTAAGGAATTATGACCTACTGTGGCATGAGACATGAGCTCCCATAAAGCAGAGGGATGGCACTTATTAAATAGCCAGTCAGTCCTCAGATGGGTGGTGACATTTTTGAGTAATTCTCATTTCCACAAGATTATCACACGTTGTACAAATACTTTTCTATTATTTCCCTTACCAATTCTTGTTATTTGATTAATTGGGTTAATACAAAATTTGGGATGGCTACCATGTTCTCAATAGGGCAGAAACGTTTCTGTTTCTTATCTCGTTCAGATGTTTAAGGTACAAACCCTTTAACTAAAATAAGTTGATTAAATAGTGACATACAACAGAACAAAATGAGGCTAGACATATGTAGATTATATTTTTCTGATTTTTAGCTCACCTGCCTGAAGGGCAAGTGAGCTTATGCCATGGCGCAGCGTTCATCGTCCGTCAACTTTTCCTTTCAAACGCTACTTGTCCTGAACGGCCCAGTAGATTTAATGGACTAAATTTGGTCCGGAGCATCCTTAGGCCAAGGGGACTCAATTTTGTATAAACGATGGGTGGGGCCCAATAGAGGAAATAGAGGTAAAACCTTTAAAATCCTTCTTCTACAGTAGTTATTAAGGGATTTTATCCTTATTTGGTCTGGAGCATCCTTAGGCCAAGGGGACTCAATTTTGTATAAACAGTGGGTGTGACCCCCTGAGGGCAGAGAGGTGGGGCCAAATAGGGAAAATACTAAATAGAGGTAAAACCTTTAAAATCCTTCTTCTACCATAGGGATTAAGGGATTTTATCCCAATTTGGTCTGGAGCATTGTTGGGCCAAGGGGACTCAATTTTGTATAAATGGTGGGTGTGGCCCCCCTGGGGGCTGAGAGTTGCGGGGCCCAATAGGAAAATTAAAGATTTAAATCTTTAAAATATTTCTTATCTGTACCATTGGAGGGATTTAATGTGATAAGAATAATTTCCCACGGGTGCTTTATTATTATCCAGGTGAGCAATACATGCCCTCTGGGCCTCTTGTTTGTAGTTTTGAATTATTTAAATTACAGAGGACATTTTTTTTTTAGTACCAGGTGCGCGCTAAGATCAATAAAATTTATCTAATTAAATTGTATTATACTTTTAAGGTTTGACCCCAATGACCCTTCAAAGACGGTAGAAAGGGAACTGAAGATTGCAGAGCTGTGTGGGGGGCAGCAGTCAACGGGAGGGGTTCCCCTGTGGCAACATGACATCATTGTGGCTACTGCAGGTCAGTTCAACACCAGTCACTCCTGTTACAGATCAATAGTTTCCATTGACTAGATCTCCTTCCAGTTAACGGATGTCTATTGGTTTGTGTGATGTCCATTTGTAATGAGGTCAATTACCTCTAGTGGTCAACATCAGTAGAATAAAATGCAGACATCACTAATTGTATGAAGTTGTGAGTTTTTTCAAAGAAGGTTTGGCACCTTTGCTCTAAATTCTGTGTAAGTGGATGAAAAGCTCCATGCTTTTTTAAAGCATATTCCGTATAACATATTATTTGGAACTAGGATCTTTAAGGAGACCATACCCGCCCCCCATCCCACCCAAGGAGCAGGACAGTAAAAAAGCATTTAAAAGAAAGTGTCAATAGAGCAAACATTAAGATCATATTGTCAAGTTTTCTGTATTTTATTAAAAAAATATGTTGAATGTAGATCAATTTAGCTTTTAGCAGTTTTATTAATTTTTAGGTCACCTGAAAATCTCAAGGTACCTTTTCTAATAGCCTTTTGTCCGTCGTCCCTCATGTGTCTGTAAACAGTTTACATTTTCAACTTCTTCTCCAATACCCCCAATCCAATTTCAATGAAATTTTACAGAAACCTTCCATGGCCAAAGGTCACCCAGATTAAATGGTCCCCAGCCCCCAGGGGCCTGAGGGACAGGGCCAAAAAGTGTCAAATTGACTGAAATTTCAAAAATCTTTCTCTCAAGATCCAGATATGGTAGATTATTTTCAGAGCTTCAATAAAAGACATTAAATTAACCATTTTTAGCCCACCTTCTTGATAATTTTGAATTATTATGTCCCTTTTAATCTTATCAGTTTTGCTATTCCATAAAAAAATGAAAAGAACAGAATTGAGCTGTTTTATAAAATTTTCAGATGGATTATAATTAGGTGAGGAAATAAACAGATGATTCATCTGAGAAATTAATAAAGATTTAATGATATTAATTCTACCAATAGGTGTGAGCAACCTTCTACTCCAGCTCTTAATTAGAACTTTAAGTTTAACTAATTTTTTATCCAAGTTCATTTTAGGTATTTTGTAAAGATCTACATGGAAATCTATCCCAAGAAGAGTAAATTTGTTAACTGCCCATCTAAGATTCATATTTGGAAGGAGAACATCATTGCTGTATTTTTTACTGCCTATCCAGACAACTTCAGTTTTACCTACATTTACTTTAAGACCAGATATTTTTGCATAAATATTTAGTTCATCAACCGCCCCTTTCAGTGATTTTTCAGAACCATCTAATACCAGAGAAGTGTCATCTGCATACTGAGAGTTTAAGATGGGACAGTACCAGTTATACTCTTATTGTTTCTAAGGCGGATTGCAAATACTTCTGCACATAATGTAAAAATATATGGAGCGATGGGATCTCCTTGACGACAATCATGATTTATTTAGAAAAATGCTGATAAATTACCCCAATGGTTTATAGCAGAGCTTGAATTACAGTGTAAAATTTTGACCCAATTTCTGATATCGTTTCCAAATCCAAAATATTTAAGTACTTTGTCTATGAATTTCCAAGAGACAGAATCGAAAGCCTTTTCAAAATCAACCATTAATAACATTCCAGGGATATCATTTTCCTCTGTATATTGCATAATGTCATAAACCAGGCGAGTATTTTCTCCTACATAACGTCCCCATATAAATATTGATTGATCAGAGTTTATATTTTTTTGTAAAACTAATTTGAATCTACTTGTTATTGATCCAGAAGCAATTTTGTATACAATGTTAATAGAGAAATAGGTCTCCAATTCTTTATAAAATACTTTGATTTATTAGCCTTAGGTATATACAAGTAATTATTCCCTGACGTTGTGTAATAGGCAGCTGACAGTTTGAAAAACAATAATTTAATGCCCTAACCACAAAATAACCTAACTGATTCCAAAAACATTTTAAAAATTCCAATGTGAATCCATCTGAGCCTGGGCTCTTATTACTTTTCATATTCTTTAGTGTTACAGATGCTTCTTTAAGTGTAAAATCTTGGAACATCAAAATCTTCTTAAAATTCATCCAAATCTGTATCATCGACTTCATTATCAATAGAATACAATTGTTCATAAAAAAAAAATCACCATGTTTAGTACATCTACTTGTTTAGTTAGAAATTCCCCATTCTCCCATTGTAACTTTGGAATGATTTTTGATATAAAATGTCTATTTTCTAAATTAAAAAAATAATTGGTAGGTTTTTCACCCTCATCAATCCATAAGGCTTTTGCACGTATTATACTCCCTTTTATCCTATGTACTCTAATCTTTTCCAATTCCTTATTTTTCTCAAGTAACTTGTCTAAGTCTACATTGTTCTCATTTTCCAGTAACTGTATTTGATCTATTAAGGTCTTTTTCCCTTGCCCAACACTGTTTCTTTTTGTAGGAAGAATATGAAATTGACTTACCTCTAATTTCCATTAATAGTGTTTCTAAAAGTAACTGATCATTTATAACAAACTGTAAATCTGAATCAGGTATATCATCTATATTTTAAGGCTTGTATATAGGAAGGCAATACTGTAATTTAACTGTTTTAATAGAATCATTAATTATATTAAGATATTCCAGGTCATGTTGATAACTTGATGAAATTATAACCCTGAGTTGACAGTTTGATACTTTGAAAATTTTGAGCCAGCCCTACCCACAAGGGCTATAGGATAGGGCGGGGCCCAAAGGAGTCAGTGTGCTAAAATGTCTTCATTTTCCTTGTTTAGAATCAGAGTTGCTAGTATCAAATACTTTTCACTCTTAAATCTGTATGCTAGATATTGAATAAGGTGGTTTTATTGTTTTTTGTCACTTTGAATAATATTTCTGTTCATGTTTTAAAAACAAAAATTCAACTCTCTGTATAAATATATCAGAACTCAGGTGACCGTTAAGGCCCAAGGGCAACTTGTTTGACATTATATTTTCAAAGTCATTTTTATATTCCCTCCCAATTCATTCTGTGTCTTTTTTGGTTACAGCGTATTGTGAGAACATGCTGACAAATAAGGTGCTGCGCTGGCAGGACCAGTGCCTTGTTATCTTTGACGAGGCCCATCACTGCAGCAAGAATCACTCCTACAACAACTTAATGGCCACACATCACTACAAGATAAATGAATCGTTCCGCTGTAAAATACTTGGCCTCACAGCCTCACCAGCTGGGAAAAACAACTACTCCATGACAGTTGACATGCTCCGACAGCTCCAGATTAATATGGGTGATTCACTGATCGCTATTGTGGAGTACGAGAAGGAGAAACTGAAGGCATACATGTCAAATGCTAAAATTCACATTGCAGTCATGGAAACAACTCCCGCTGAGGAACAATTTCAGCGGGATCTCCGAGTCTACCTGTTACAGTGCTACATGAGGCTTGCGGCAGAAACCAATATCTTCGAACACAGCAACCTTGGATTGACTGGGACAAGTAAGTCTGTAAGTGTACAAGATCTTCAGAGACACGCACAAGATATCACCGGAGATGTTCTGGATGAGCTACAGGCATTGATAGCCATGGCAAAACCAAATACATCAAGCGTCGATAAGAGAATTGAAGTTCAGAACTTGATAGGACACATTAAATGTATCTGTATGACTATAAGTGTCGCCATGGAGATGGGAATCCCACAGGCTTTGGAAGAGATGCAGGAACTCATGGCTACCAATCTTAACCAAGACTTTGATTTTGCCAGACAAATTGGTCTGCCATGTCAGGACATTCTTCATTCAATTGAGGCCCAGCAACTATTTCAAAAGTCTAACTTGAAGGTGTTGGATGAATCAATAAGCCAGGAAATGTCCTCAAATGTCAAATGTCTGATAAAGCAACTGATCTATGAGAACTACATCCAGTGGAATGGTGGTCAAGGACAGAGTCAACAATTAGCCCTCGTCCTAGTCAAGCGGAGGGCTACAGCCACTGCTTTGCATGAAACTTTAATGAATCATCCTGAAATAGTGAAGAGAAAATTGTCGGTGGAGAAAATGGTTGGGCATGGCGCTGCTGCAGCTGAAAAGGGAATGTCTGTTGCCCAACAACGAAAGACACTAGAGGAGATTAAAGACCACAAGTACCAAGTCGTCATAGCAACAGCTGTTGCTGAGGAAGGGATCGATCTACCAGAATGTGAGCTTGTGGTCTCCATGAACCCACCGTCCACCATGACTGCACTGGTGCAGATGCGTGGGCGTGCCCGAAAACTGAACAGTCATTTTGTCATCGTGTGCAATGATAGTAAGGAGGAAGCCAAGCTTAGCGATTTACTAGCAAGGGAAGAAAACATGATAAAAGCTGCCAATTTCTTGGTACAGAATCAAAATAGGCAAGGAGCTATGTAAGTGGGGAATTTGAAACTCTTCATGTCTGAAATTCATTAATAGCCTGATGAATAGGAATAGATGTGTTGCCAGGTTAATTTAATACAAGAAAAGACAAAAACTTACAAGGTACAGTGTATTAAATGATATATCGGATTTAATTTTATTTCTTTAAAGTATTTATACCTCTTAAAGAGTTGAGACGAATGATCTTTTCAGGAAATAGTGACAAAACTAGAATATTGATGGATTTGGCACTGGAAGAGGTTTCAAAGTCTAACACTTGAGTTGAAAAGCTTGCCTAAATTGATTACCAAGGGTTGTAGACTTATATCATGTCGTTACAAACAAAGTCCATCATTCACAACCTTCTGTACTGATAACATTGTAGGTTATTCTGTCAGAAAGGTGAACTTTTCAAATGATGAATAATCATATTGATGGGTCTGTTTGTGCCATGAAATGCAGTTTCAATGATTGAAAGTACATTTGGTATCGAATACCATTAGAAGAGGCATTAGCAGTAGTGCAATTGTGCTTTTGATACTGTTTATTAGGAAAATAGAAAGTTTGAGCCATTTCTTTCTTTCTTATTTATTTTTAAAAAAAAACATTATCGTCTTTAATTCAGAAATAAGATTGTTAACCAAAGAATATTTTTGGCTTAATTTCAACATAAGATTGAAGACAATTCTTTTTGTTATTTATACAAAAATGAAAATCAAGTTTTTTAAGAAACTGATTTGGTTTGTTTTTTGTTATGAATGAAATTTCGTGGACAATTCCTTTTTTAAGGGATTTTGAAACATTTGTTTCAATCAGTATTCTTTGTGTTTTGTCAGTTTTTAAAAAAAGTTAAGAGGCAAAAAAAGTTTGTTGTTGTGTAATTATATAAATTCAATCATGATTACAATATGTTTAACCATATATTTTTGGTTCCCTATGGGGAAATCTGTCTTATCTGACTCTTTAAGTATTCAAACATCCTGTCTAACTCAACACAATGCTTTAATTCCCTTATGACATCTACCAAATAATATGTGTACATTCTGACATCCAATCTGGTGCAACAAAATAATGTAATCCCAGCTCTAATGAAAACTTACAACATACTTGTTCATTCAGACATCCTATCTTGTCAAACGAACAATAAGGTAGTTGGAGCTCTATTGAAAACTTCTAAATATTCTCGTTCATTCAGACATCCTATCTTGTCAAACTAAATAAGGTAATTGGAGCTCTATTGAAAACTTCTAAATATTCTCGTACATTCAGACATTCTGGTCAGTACTCATTAAACCATTCCATGCTCAAACATGGATTCTTTGCTCAAACCAACTTTATTGTATCTTGCTAAAATCATGTCAAATGAACAAAAAGTCAAATGTAAATATTGAAAACAGTATTCCGCTTTAAGTCTCTTCAAAACTGAGACAAGTCATTGACAAAATCTTTTGTTTTATTAATAACCAGAACAAGAAATTAGGCTTGAACACAAAATCCAAGTTTGAGCAGGAGAACTCCAAGTTTGAGCATGAGAACGGTTTCATGAATACGGGCCCCTATCTTGTCTAACAAACTAATGTCATTCCAGCTATGATGGAAACTTCTTATTAGCCTCATACATTCAGACGTCACATCTTGTCAAGCAAAACCATTTAATCACAGTTCATATGAAAAATTCTAGAAAATATCTGTATTCTGACATTCAGTCTTATCTGGCCAACATGGCATCAGATTCGTGTCCAACATAATGTCAGATATTAGTCAGCTTTCCCTATAGTTTAATGATCCATGTAAGATATACAGGATCTCATTTTGACATTATTTTTTCAGAAATGATTATGCTTGTATTTGACAGCACTTGTTCTTGATGTCTAAATCATGGTTTCAATTTCTAATTTGTTCTTTATTAAACTGCCATTCTGCAATCAGTTTTTGAAAGTGGACAAAAAATATGTAACCAAATTACTAAATCACATTTTACTTGACTTGCCATGCCATTTCATGAAAGCCAAGGGAACTTTTACTTAGATTAAATGTAAAACTATGTATATACTTATCTTTGTAAAATTGTTTTCCCTGGTTTCAGTTTCACAAACATTACTTATTCCAAAGATATTCAAGGAGATTTTTTCCATCTGAACGTGTTTCTGGAGCCAAAGTAAATGGAAAATTAAGGAGCGTTTTGTACATAACTCCAGTTTTGCTTTCAAATGGAATAACTTAAGTTTAAAATTAATAAGTTTCTTAAGAAATGTTTATGAAACTTCTGGGATTTTTGTAAATGCTTCTTACATAAGGAACTTTCTTGTTGAATTTGGTTGAAATCCTCTCTGGTGTATAAGGAGAAGATGCGTTTTAAAGCAAATTTAGCTAATTCCCCTTCAGGGCCCCGCCCCCCTGGCCAAACCTCATTTATTTAAGAAATGATTGCCCTCCCCTAGTGATGCTTTAGACTAAATTTGGTTGAAATCCTCTCTGGCGTTAAGCAGGAGATGCATTTTAAAGGGAACTTCTAAATAAATGAGACTGGTTCGACCCCTGGGGCTAGGAAGGCCGGGCCCCAAAGAGGAAAATTACCGGGTATCTAATATTTTGCTTTAAGGCACTAATATCCCCTAATTGCCTGAATGGACCATACAAAATTTGGTCAAAAACATTATTGAGGAAGAACAAACATTTCTTAATTGAATGAGGTTGATTTGACCCCTGCGGTCCTAAGAAATGATACAGCTAGATTATCATATTCTATGGTGTAGTTTTCATAAATTGTTAAAAATTGGTTTCTAGGTTTATAAAAGCTTATAGTTGTATGAAAAATAAAGTATTGTCTAATTACACCCTGTTATATGACATAACTGGTCCCAGTTGGGTTAGAACATAGATCTTGTCTGGTTTTGAGGAAATTTCATATAAAGATGTACTAATTCATTCAGTTGTAATGACTTAAATATAAAACCAGGTGAGTGATACAGGTCCAATGGACCTCTTGTTTTTTTGTAAAACACAGAATAAAATGGTGTATAACTTAATTTTCCTCAAAAACCAGTCAACAAATTCTAAGGTTATTGTATAAAAGCTTATCTTTCTGTTTTTGAAATTCTGATTTAATAGCGCTATAAATTTGCCCCAAAAAATGTAATAAAAATGGTAAAAACACATAAAATTTAGAGTAGATTTGGGGAAACTGCAAATACATTTGGCATGATGCACAAAGTTATAGAAAGAGATTTTGCAAATGTAATTTTAGTTTGACTTTCTCGTGTTTTCCTTGGAGTTTTCATGATCCGAGCAACTTTTGTATGATTTGTGAGATCATGACAGTTGATTATTATTGCCACATAGTGTAGATAGTTGTCAACAGTTGCAGGTGGTGACTTTTTCTCTCTCGCCAATTTCAGATTTTCTATCATACAAGCATCTCAAAGTTTAACCCTCTCACCACTGTAGACCATAATGGACTCATCCAGATCAATGCATGGTAGAGTCTACTAAAGTTACATAAGGGTGAAGGGGTTCAATCTTTTTAGACGACTTTTTTATTCAATCAGGTGTAGGGTGTTATTTTGTCCTTCTTTCTGCATCTGTCTAACCATCAATTCTATAAGTACTTTTTATTTTACTATATCTTTTTTATTAGATAATATATATATGGGCTATCTTAATTATTTCTTAAATTTGATATTGACTTAATTTTAAGCTCACCTGCCTGAAGGGCAAGTGAGCTTATGCCATGGAGCAGCATCCGGCGTCCCTCAACTTTTCGTTTCAAACGCTTCTAGTCCTGAACGGCTTAGTGGATTTTAACAAAAAAAATGGTCTGGAGCATCATTAGCAAAGGGGACTCAATTTTGTATAAACAGGGTGTGTGGTCCCCCTGGGGGCAGAGAAGCAGGACCCCATATGGGAAATAGAAGTTAAACCTTTAAAATCCATCTTCTACTGTAGGGATAAAGGGATTTTATCCTTATTTAGTCAGGAGCATTCATGGGCCAAGGGGACTCAATTTTGTTGGGTGTGGAGCCCCTGGGGACAGAGGGTTTGGGCCGAATAGGGGAAATAGACGTAAAATCATAAAAAACTTCTTCTACCTTTGGGATAAAGGGATTTTATCCTAATTTGGTCTGAAGCATTCTTGGGCCAAGTGGACTCAATTTTGTATAAACCGTGGTTTTGAACCGCCTAGGGGGAGAGGGGCGGGCCGAATAGTTGAAATAGAATAAAACCTTTCAAATCCTTCTTCTACCATAGGGATTAAGAGATTTCATCCCAATTTGGGCTGGAGCATCCTTGGGCCAAGGAGACTCAATTTTGTATAGAGTGAGTGTGTCCCCTTCAGGTGCAGAGGGGCGGGGCTCAAAGAGGAAATTTGAGGTTAAAATCTTTAAAATCCTTCTTCTTTTGTACCATTGGAAGGATTTTATCCAAATTTGGCCTGGAGCATCATTGGGTAAGGGGACTTTATTTTGTAATAATGGGGAGTGTGGCCCTTTGGGTGCAGAGAGGCGGGCTCAAAAGGGGAATTGGAGGTTTAAGTCTTCAAAATCCTTCTTTCTGTGTACCATTTGAGGGATTTTATCCAAATTTGGCCTTGGGCTAAGGGGACTAGATTTTGTATAAATGGAGGGTGTGGCCCCTCTCAATGCAGAGTTGCGGGTACCTTTAGGGGAATTTGAGGTCTAAATCAGGTTTTTTTCTTCAAATTTGGCCAAAAGAAGGGCGAAGAAGACTAAATTTTGTATAAAAAGTGAGAGTGTGGCCCCTCTTGGTGCAGAAAGGCATGGCTCCAAATAAGAATTTGAGGTTTAAATTCCTTCTCTTTCTGTACCATTGGAGGGATTTTATGTAATAAGAATAATTTCCCATGATTGCTTTATTATCCAGGTGCGCAATACAGGCCCTCTGGGCCACTTGTTTTTAATTCAAAATGCTTCAAAATTGATACATACAAGTATTTAACTGCTTTTATTTGGCATTCATAGTCAATTTGAATGCTAACTGGAAATGACATATTCTTTGTGAAGCCCTAATGCTGTTCATATAATTGTCATTTCCAGCTGGCATCCATATTGACTGAATGTTAACTGAAAGCAGTGCAGTGCTTAATAAGCTAGATGGTAGAAGCCAGTTTACTAGATTCTTTGTAAGCTTCAGTATTGAAATGTCAGCAATTCATATGTGTTGTTTTGTGTCTGGTAGCTGAATTTGTTAGTGGAATGCTTTGTTTGCTAAACGGTTCTTAAAATACAGAAATATTTACATTCTCTCTGCATCCTTCTGTCTGATTGTGACATTGTAATAGTACTGTTGACTGAGGTCACTCTGTGAATTACACGTGTTCCACATGGGGCACATGTATCTTTTATACACAGAAGTGAGAGGAAACACATCAGTACAGAATATATGATAATTTGGTGAGGTGACCACTATTTTTATGTCTGAATTTGACAAGAGCATAAAATACATGTTTATCACATAATTAATGTACTGTGTTATCCAGTTAATATACCCATGTCATAATTTTTGGCGTATTAACCCATGTAATATGACCTATCAGTCCTGTGATTGGTTGTAAGTTTCAATTGTTTTAATTGTGATGTCACGCCTAGGACAAGTACATGACATCACAGACTAACGCACTGGAGTTAAAATGGTGGCTTTTTAAATTTCAAGGTTGCATAAAAATTGTCGTTTTACACAATTAAAGGCCACACATCTTGATTATGTGATAAAAAGGATCTTACACTCGTTTTCATTTCATATGAAATTTATGAAACTCGTCACGAATTTCCATTTTAGCGAGCCTTTAAAATTCTTAGACTAGTTTCATAACTCTCATATGAAATGGAAACTCATGTAAGATCCTATATATATTGTAATTGCTCTAATTATTAGTAAATGGTATTGTGGTCCTATTGAAAACATGACTATTGCTGACAAACTAACAAAAAGCTCTTCTGGGCTTTATGTTTGATTGTCAGAAATACTTACGTGTTCTTAGGACCACCGTACCATTATCTAAAACATTTATTGTGTAATCCTATTGAATATCAATGATTGGTTGTAACGCCTTTGTTCTTTTTTTTGTAATGAACAAACATTTTCTTACAAATCCACAGGGATGTGGTTATTGTGAATAAATGGTTGAGCCTTGCTGTGGTAACTAAAATAAAACTAAAAGTTGTGAAAACCAAGTAACATGAAAATGAATGGCATCTTGTCTTATTCCTAAAAATAAGGACAACGAATGGCACCCTGTCTCATTCAATTGTCTCCCAAAGTGTAGAATGTTTTTCATATTTTGTCAAATTCAATTAGGCACAAAGTTGAATATGTTTTTATGATTCCTTTCATTATTTTGATTCATTTTGTTACAAGAATGCATTGCGATTTGTTTCTCATTTTGGCCGTCGTTTGTGCGAGAATGGTTGTATAAGCCTGTGAGAGTGATGCATAAGGGGAACACGTCGCATAAAAAAGACAAATGTTTAAGTTTTGAAATTCAAGAAGGCTGTTATAATTTGAGTTCTATTAAGCCGATATTGTTGATACCTCGTTGGAGTGAAACATGGGGGGAAATGCTTTCTATTAAAAGTAGGACCTTTAAATTTTGGGATCCAAAATGGACGCGGTGGTGTTTGGTCGTCTGAGACAATACAAAATTCAATGTTCGAGCAGGAAGCATTTTAAATTATTATACCTTCTGTTAAAATCTTTTAATCTGATTGGTTGAGAAAGATGTGAACATTTTCAATGTTACTTCCTCGTTTTACAAAGATAAAGAAGACAGGGTGACATTCCAAAAAATATCACATGCGCCAAACGTATGCGTGCACGGTTCGTCCCAGTGCCAGGGTGTTATCAAATCACATTCATGGTTGGTTCATTTGACAACTGTTGAGATGAAGTCTTGGTTTATGTCAAATCAACACAAGGACCTTTAAAAATGGTGAAGTGGTGAAACACCTAAACATGACACTCGGTATAATAAAATAAAAATCACATTCATGAGAGGGCGATATTGCATATTTTCACCCTTCGGAGAACATTGTTGACCTTGGCTTCGCCTCAGTCAACAATGCTTCCTTGGGGTGAAAATATGCAATATCGCCCTCTCATGAATGTGATATTTATATAATATGCATGTGGCTGACAGGTCTAATTGCATGTAGACCATCTTATATTATGCACAAGCATGTTCATGGAATGATGGTAGAAATTAAGTGTCCCTCCTTAATTAACAGGTGGATTTCATTGAAACTTTGCATGAATGATCAGTATCTTATGCAGTTGTGCACCGGCATTTTAATTTGGGATTTCGACAATTTTGATGGAGTTATGCCCCTTTTTGTGAAATACTTGTCAGCGCAACTCCTCCTTAACTAACAGGTGGATTTCATTGAATTTTTGCATGAATGATAGGTATCTTGTGAAGTTGGGCACCAGCATTTTAATTTGGGTTTCAACCCTTTTTGATGGAGTTATACCCCTTTGTGCGAAATACTTATTTTTATATAAAATAGTGATTAACTCATTACTGGTGGGGAGACTATATTGCTTTGCATTAGTAAGCCTTAAGCTTACAGTTCTGGGTTATATAGGAGCGGGGGAATTAGTTAGCCTTTGGCTTACAGTTCTAGTTTAATTTGGATAGTTTGGTTTGATGTATATGCCTGCTCCAAGTAAGGGTAAGAATCTTATCATAAAACGAACTGTTGAGTAAGATGAATAAAGTCATTATCAACATAACATCAAATAATCTAAGTTTTGTAAGGAATACGCGCATGTAATACTGTAGTAGCAAACATGTACTTACTTTCCATTCTTGTTTATTCATATTCTGCGGCTTCATGCAAATTTGTTATCATAATGATGAGTTTAATTTATTAAAGAATAAATAATGTAACAAATATGGCGTTGTTATTGCTGGCCTTTGATATCAATAGGTTGGAATGATGTGCTGATTATGGCCGACATAAAGGATTGAAGAATGTTCCGACATACTATTAGAAACTCATTCTGCACAACTTTAACCAGTATGGTTCCACTTTCACAAAATCCTTAATTTACGAAAATTTCCTGAACTTATAATTATCCATTAAGGAAAGCATTAATGAACATAAGATATTTCTTCATTAAGCTAAAAAAAAATCTGTAAAACATGGGTGTGTTTTATAAAGAAGTAGAATTTGTATAGACCCTTACGAGGAATATGCTTTTCAAGTCCCACAATACGTACTCAATTACAATTACATAAATACTAATGTTTTTCCATGAAAAATAATTCACAAAATTACTGGTAGTTTATTCCTTTTCCTGAGTTTGAAATGAAGGAGGCTTCACTCTTTCGCAATTAACAAGCGGAAATCGTTGAAACTTTCACATAATGGTAATGCAACTAAGAGGTAATTTTGTGAAAGTCTAAGCTTTCTGAAAGACTGGATAATATTTTGGAAAAAATACCCCAAAAAATTAGTTTTCGTCATTTTTAATAGTTTCCATTTTTTTGGTGTGTGGCATCGTTCGTAACAAACACACCAATACAAAAATGAAAAGAAGCATAACTAATTCACCCTCATTATACATTTTATTTGTCACAAAATATTTACAGTAAAACACATTACACAAAGCGTTTTGTTATTGAAATTGCGTGGATGAAAATGACTATCTATAAGCTAAAAGCAAATAGAATACCAAGTTTCATACAAAAAATAGTGGAAAATTGAACAAAATATACACAACGGCCTATAATTACTTCATTTTACAATCACTTTGTTCATGATGATAGTTGTCTCCCTTGAAAAGTTTGAGGGATAAAATTCAAACTGACAGTTATCTCTTTTAAAAATATCAATAATTATGAAAATCAATTAAAATTATGAAATCAAAAGTGACAATTAATAGTTCTTAATAGACCCAAATTACTCTCAATCATGCACACTTTGGACATCATTCCTCAGCCCGTTAGCGCATGGCATATTACATGTAACCAGGGGCTATCGCATGGTATGCTATTCTCACATGCAGTTCATATATATATAGGATCTAACAGGGTCGGTGTATCGATTTTGAAAACGATTTACTCGATGTGCTTCATATATATATAAGACATTTAAGTCAGTGAGTCAGTTTATGTCTTTGTATCGGAATCTTTACTTCTGAAGTATACGTGTTACACATTTTCCAGTTAATCATCGTCACGCACGTGAACTTTTGTTTATCCGGTGTTACTATAATTCACACTGCGGTATTGAAATGTCTGATACGCAATATGGAAATGACGACACGATTTACGAAGGGTGGAAAGTCCTTAAGAGACTCGTGAGGACGACCACTAACCTTCTTTCATTCGCTACTCTAGAGTCTGTTCTTTAGATTCTGGTTATTCTGAAAGGATGTGTCCTATGTACAAAAGGTTTTCCTCGATCATCCTCGGTCACAGGGGAAAATTGCACTTTCAGTGTGGGCTTCAATCTACAATGAAGAAACGCCGTTATCATTATGGAGGCCTGGGCCCATATTCATGAAACCGTTTTTAGGCTCAAGCATGGATTCTTTGCTCAAACCAAACTTTGTTATAACTTGCTCAAATCATTTAACAACGTCAGAAAGTCAGGTTTAGCCATTAGAAACGATATTCGCCTCTTAGTCTGTCCGATATGCTTCCAAGTCATTGTCTCAATGTTAATATTTATAGGTTAATCTCAGATGATTAAGAAACGAAGGTTGAGCAAATACCGAGTTTAAGCATGGGATATGTCTCATGGATTAGGGCTCCTGATCACCCTCTGGGATTGCCTGTCTGTCGTGATTACAGTGGTTACATAACATGCTGAACAACACATGTGGACTTTGACTTTTTAACTACTTCACGTTGTGGCCGCAAAAGTCAGGGTCCATACCTCGAGTAGGCCCTCTTTGTAAGATCTCTCTTAAATTAAACAAAACTGTCGTTTTAAACTCAGTTCTGGCACACGACAGCAAATCTACCTGCACACATATTATATAGAATTACAACATCAAACACATAGTTCTAAAGCACATCAAGTGCTGTACCTGGGCCATTTTAAGCCCCTCCGGCCGAGGCCTTCCCTGGCCTATCTCCCCAGAGTCTCACATTCTCGGACCTCGAATCCCGTCCTACACTCTACACTCCCATTCTTCACTCTGGACTCCCACTCCTCACTCTACACTCACACTCTTCACTCTACACTCCCACTCCTCACTCTGGACTCACACTCCTCACTATACACTCCCACTCCTCACTCTGGACTCACCCTCCTCACTCTGGACTCTACACTCCCATTCTTCACTCTGGACTCCCCCTCCTCACTCTACACTCACACTCTTCACTCTACTCTCCCACTCCTCACTCTGGACTCACCCTCCTCACTCTACACTCCCACTCCTCACTCCGGACTCCAACTCCTCACTCTACACTCTCACCCCTCCCTCTACACTCTCACCCCTCACTCTACACTCTCACCCCTCACTCTACCCTCCCACTCCTCACTCTACACTCCCACTCCTCACTCTACACTCCCACTCCTCACTCTGGACTCCCACTCCTCACTCTACACTCCCACTCCTCACTCTGAACTCCCAATCCTCACTCTGGACTCCCAATCCTCACTCTACACTCACACTCCTCACTCTACACTCCAACTACACTCCCACCCCTCACCCTACACTACCACCCCTCACTCTACACTCACACTCCTCACTCTGGACTCACACTCCTCACTCTACACTCCCACCCCTCACTCTACACTCCCACTCCTCACTCTACACTCCCACTCCTCACTCTGGACTCCCACTCCTCACTCTACACTCCCACTCCTCACTCTGAACTCCCACTCCTCACTCTACACTCCCACTCCTCACTCTGAACTCCCACTCCTCACTCTACACTCCCACTCCTCACTCTGAACTCCCAATCCTCACTCTGGACTCCCAATCCTCACTCTACACTCACACTCCTCACTCTACACTCCAACTACACTCCCACCCCTCACCCTACACTACCACCCCTCACTCTACACTCACACTCCTCACTCTGGACTCACACTCCTCACTCTACACTCCCACCCCTCACTCTACACTCCCACTCCTCACTCTACACTCCCACTCCTCACTCTGGACTCACACTCCTCACTATACACTCCCACTCCTCACTCTGAACTCACACTCCTCACTCTACACTCTCGTTCCTCACTCTACACTCCTGTTCCTCACTCTACACTCACACTCCTCACTCTACAATCCCACTCCTCACTCTGGACTCACACTCCTCCCTCTACACTCCCACTCCTCACACTGGACTCACACTCCTCACTCTGCACTCACACTCCTCACTCTACACGCCCCCTCCTCACTCTACACTCCCACTCATCACTCTGGACTCACACTCCTCCCTCTACACTCTCGTTCCTCACTCTACACTCCTGTTCCTCACTCTACACTCACCCTCCTCACTCTACAATCCCACTCCTCACTCTGGACTCCCACTCCTCCCTCTACACTCCCACTCCTCACTCTTCACTCCCACTCCTCACTCTACACTCCCGTTCCTCGCTCTACATTCCCGTTCCTCACTCTACACTCCCGTTCCTCACTCTACATTCCCGTTCCTCACTCTACACTCACACCCCTCACTCTACACTCCCACTCCTCCCTCTACACTCCCACTCCTCACTCTACACTCTCGTTCCTCACTCTACACTCCTGTTCCTCACTCTACACTCCCACCCCTCACTCTACAATCCCACTCCTCACTCTGGACTCCCACTCCTCACTCTGCACTCACACTCCTCACTCTACACTCACACTCTTCACTCTACACTCCCACTCCTCGCTCTACACTCCCACTCCTCACTCTGGACTCCAACTCCTCACTCTACACTCTCACCCCTCACTCTACACTCTCACCCCTCACTCTACACTCTCACCCCTCACTCTACACTCTCACCCCTCACTCTACACTCTCACCCCTCACTCTACACTCCCACTCCCCACTCTGGACTCACACTCCTCACCTTACCCGCACCCTCCTCGCTCTACACTCCCACTCCTCACTCTTAACTCCCACTCCTCACTCTACACTCCTCACTCTACACTCACACTACTCACTCTACACTCCCACTCCTCTCTCTACACTCCCACTCCTCACTCTGCACTCACACTCCTCACTCTACACGCCCCCTCCTCACTCTACACTCCCACTCCTCTCTCTACACTCCCACTCCTCACTCTACACTCCCCCCCCTCACTCTACACTCACACTCCTCACTCTACACTCCCACTCCTCACTCTGGACTCACACTCCTCACTCTGGACTCACACTCCTCACCTTACACTCACACTCCTCACTCTACACTCCCACTCCTCACTCTACACTCCCACTCCTCACTCTTCACTCCCACTCCTCACTCTACACTCCCACTCCTTACTCTACACTCCAACCCTCACTCTACACTCCCACTCCTCACTCTGGACTACCGACTCCTTATAACAATTATCTTTCAACAATATATACAAAACTAAGTATTCATATGTAGGTACCATGTACTTTATATAAGTAATGAGGCACGTGCAGCAATGTATTCTAACTTCTCATCTAACATATAATAAGATGGTTCCATTCTTTCTCATTAATTATCCAATTTTAGCCCAATCTGTTACAATTTATATCAAGTGTTCGTCGTTCGTTGGTGACCGACGTATTATCGCAGATGTTACAGCCGATACGTCACGATTGTCACATGCAGGGCACGCCATCCTTGCTAAAATCTAGTTTCATGATTTTCCCCCTGGTTTATAACTGCTTTTGTATTGCGTTTGTACATCTGCGAACAATGGAATCCAAAATAACGAATATAGTAAAATTAGGTAACGATGTCTTTATTATTTTCAGAGGAATCCCCAACATATCGGATAAGAGCCATCTGACATAACCACACCCATGGCGACCGGGGGAGCGGATGATAAACCATGCACACCGGAAGAGTTGCTTAACATAATTACATGCCAGAGTGGCATTTGTATGTTGCCGACCGACGCGTATAACGAGGTGTTCCCCAATATCTACATAGGAGAAGAGTAAGTCTGATTATGAACGACGGATGGGTTGTTTATGGTAGGTGTTCGAGGACGGATGGGTAGTTTATGGTAGGTGATCAAGGACTGATGGGTAGTTTATGGTAGGTGTTCGACGGATGGGTAGTTTATGGTAGGTGATCGACGGATGGGTAGTTTATGGTAGGTGTTCGAGGACGGATGGGAAGTTTATGGTAGGGGTTCGAGGGCGGATGGGAAGTTTATGGTAGGTGTTCGAGGACGGGTGGGGAGTTTATGGTAGGGGTTCGAGGACGGATGGGGAGTTTATGGTAGGGGTTCGAGGACGGATGGGTAGTTTATGGTAGGTGATCGAGGATGGATGGGTAGTTTATGGTAGGTGTTCGACGGATGGGGAGTTTATGGTAGGTGGTCGAGGACGGATGGGGAGTTTATGGTAGGTGTTCGAGGACGGATGGGTAGTTTATGGTAGGTGATCGACGGATGGGTACATTTGTAGTTTATGGTAGGTGATCGACGGATAGGTATTTTATGGTAGGTGTTCGACACCATTTCTGGATAGATAACTTGTTTTGACATAATACAGAACGAAAATAATGTCCTGGTACAGTGTATGTACCGAGCGATTAGTTATGCGTTACACGAGAGTGTAGAGAGGATATGTGTTTTGACAGCGGAACCGAAAATGACATTTCTCTAATACTTCGTAAATATTAGCGATGCAACCTCTTATTTCAAAACGAGATATTGGTCCGTTGGTGTTAAAAATGTTTTACTCTTATCTTTTACTCATTTCGTTGCTTTGAGGAAATAAGGACCATGGATACCAAGGGCGGATCTAGGCCCGGCGTGCCGGGCGCGCCCC